TATAGAGAGGAAGGGAGAAGGATAGAGAGTTAGAAACACCGGTGAGAGAGAAACATTGATCAGCTGCCTCCTGCACACCTCCTACTGGGGATGTGCCCGCAACTAAGGTACATGCTCTTGACCAGAATCGAACCTGGGACCTTTCATTTCACAGGGTGACGTCTATCCACTGAACCAAACCGGTTAGGGCCCCAGGAACAGTTTTACAAAGTGGTTAGAGGTTCAATTTCTCATGTCATATTGCTGGGATTTAAATCCCACCTTAGCTACTTACTATCATCTGTTTCTGTGGGAATAATCTGTAACCTCCCAGAGCCTCAGTTTTCTCACCTGTAAAATGGAGCTCCTTAGACTTCAACCCTCACTAGCAATAGTGAGCCCAGCAACACATCGCCACAGGACCTTACATCAGCAGTAGCAAATCAAATCTATCAGAAGGATTATTTCACAGCCCCCACCCTGATCACATACAGACAAGGGGCCGATCACAATTCATTTGTAACAAATGGTTGTCGCCATCGCAGGACCACCTTCACCTATTCCTTGTTGAGAGCCCTTCCTCTCAAGGGAACCCCAAATCAGCTATAATCAGGCAGAGACTTAGAGCCAATACCAAGACACTGTCTTCCTTCCCTCCTTTCCTGGTTCTAATTCCTTCTACCTCCCTTGTCTGCCCACCCCCCATGTTTACCAAGTTCTCATCAAGGATTAATTTATACTGGTTTGGGAGCTTTCAGGGGCAACTGTGTCTTCTATCAGCAGCACTAGAAAGTAATCCTATCCTGAGAAGTCACACTGAGAGAGGAATTGAAGGGAACTGGCCCAGCAGGGCACACACTCCTGGCTGCCACACTCAACAGGGAAAAGGAATTTTCTATTTGGAGTCAGAGCTCTTTGCTGAGATCTCCCCTAGATCTTTCCTGAGACTGGTGTGCTTTAAATTAATATCGTGTAGCTAATGTACTGAATAACAGAACCTGGATTCAAAGAATGAGGGAGAGAATCTAACAAGACAACATTTAACCCAGAAAAATAAAAGCTTCTGTACTTGGGTTAAAATGGACTTATAGAAGTGCATTAACAGGAATGTATGAAACAGATCTGGGGTGGGAGAGTCTCAGTTGATTGCAACTTAAACTGGATTCAACTGTAACCCTGTCAAGGTAGTTCAGTTGGTTAGAGCATTGTTTAGCTACACCAAGGTTGCTGGTTCGATCCCCAGGGCACAAACAAGAATAAACCAATGAATGCATCAATGGGTGACAAATCAATGTTTTTTTCTCTCTCTTTCTCAAATCAGTAAAATAAAAAAGTCCCTAAATCAGTTATGCAATTCGTTTTTTTAAAACATATTTTTATTGATTTCAGAGAGTAGGAGAGAGAAACATCGATGATTAGAGAGAATCATTGATCAGCTGCCTCCTGCACACCCACTACTGGGGATCAAGCCTGAAACCTGGGCATGTGCCCTGACAGGGAATTGAACTGTAACCTCCTAGTTCATGGGTCATCACTCAACCACTGAGCCACACCAGCCGGGCGATGCAATTGGTTCTTTGAAAAAACACACACAATTGGATTCAACTGTGATATGGCATCCACAGTATCTGCTATGATCTTAGGATGCATGTATAGACATATAGTGGCTATTCTAGAAAGAAGGATGTGATAAGATCATTCCATTCTACACTAGTCAGAATATTTAGTATTTTCAGAGAAATTTACAAATTCAGGAGTATATAGGATGGTGAGTGACTTTGAAAAGATATATCACATCAGAAAGAGATGAAATAAGAGAGGAGGTTTTTTGTAAGAACATAACTGTTTAAGGATTAAATGAGATAACATATTGAAAGTGCTTAGTAAAATGCCCAATGCAACTGATCAATTAATGTTAATAAAAGAATGATAATTAGTAGTGTTAATAGCACTATGTCATACTATTATTATTACTACTATCATAGTTAATGCTTATAGAGTGCTTTCTATATGCTAGATACTCTTCCAGGCCCTTCACATATACTGACTCATTCCTCTTACCAATCCTATAAGGTAGGAACTATTATGATGTCTCCAAGTTTGAAGATGAGGAAGTTGAGTCACAGGTCAAGTAGATTGTTTTACAGATGGGCAGGGGAAAGAACCAGAACACTGACTCTGGCGTGTCAGACTATCAAGGGTAAAAGGCACTTTTGTATTTTATACTTGTACCTTCCAGAGGGCAGAACCAGGATCAATTCAATGTGTGTAAACTATTGGGAAGAAGATTTCAGCACAACATCAAAAACCCATTCTGATGATTAGAATTGCCTGAACTTTCAATAGGGGTTCTTTTAATGTAATGAGTTCTCCATCACAGGATGTAAGGAAAAAAGGATAGAAATAAAGAAATGAATGAAATGGGGCTCCTCTTGGAAAGAAACCATATCAACGATGAGCCAAGCCTTGGTGAAAAAAATAAACAAGGTATAGTGCAGTGCAACTTTATGGAAAATATATAAAGGTGAACTAATATCTGTCTTTCTGCTATCTCAGCCCAGAGTAAATTAAATGTTGGACAAAAAGTTACAAAATGGAAAATTTCACGTATGAATTTGTTAGGAAACGTACTAGATGGTCACACTGGATTTGAGAGAAGCAATCCCAAGATCTTCACAGATCTGATTGCCACCTACCCTGAAAGTATAAAATTCAGAAGAGAGGTATAGTCTGCTCTCTGGAAGAAAGGGCATCTGCATGAGAAAGTAGCATTCAGGCATGGGGGTGAAGATCATAAAACCCAATTTGATCCCAAAATACAGACTTGTAATGACAATTGAGTATGTTAGCATGATTTTAATCCCACTAGTCAGTGTGTGGTCAACAGAATTACTGCACAGTTTAATATGAATGTGCTCTGTGCTGAATCTATCTTTTTGGGTCTAGCGGTCCCACAACCCAAATACTTGCTAACTTAATGAATTAATATAAACTTCCTCAACCAGCAACACCAAGAGATGGCTAGTTAAGGATCCAAGTTCCAGCAAAATCTCTTGCTTCTATTATGAAAAATGACTGAATAGTATATATATAGTTATATTATTTACATTAATACACACACACACACACACACATAAATACTAGTATATATGTAATGTCACACTCTTCACCAAAAATGTTCCCATTTCAGATAAGTTTCCAGACTATCTGTACTTGGACAAATATGTATTTTGATTTATGAAATTCAAAGTATTCAATCTTTTTAGAATTACATACTTTACAAACTTAATTCTTTCTAGATTTCTAGAACTGAATGATAACCAAATTGGACTAGAGCTTCTATTTGTGATATAGGTATGGTGGCTCACAAAAAAATAAAATTCTTAAGTAATGGAAAAATGAAAGGTTATCTTCCGTGAAAGTGACAAGAGATGCAAACCATGTTGACAGAGCCTACATGGACATGATAGAGTTATGGGTGTGGATTTAAACTGGGAGAGGTGGCATATGGTATTGATTCATTAAGGAGAAATAGTCAAATTTCAGTGCAGGATCTGGAGTGTAGGGGAAATAATGGGCCTTGGTGACTGATGAGAAAGGGGGAGAGGTGGGTATCAGGGGAAGCTGCTGAGAGGAAGAGTCAATAACCCCCAAGACTGGATACTGACTGTCCCTGGTAACTAGAAAAAAGGCAAATATAAACAAAGAGAGGTGAGTGACGATGCCTAGTGCATTGGGGATCTGGAAACACTGGCAGAGCTGCAGCACCGCCGTGGGTCAAAGTGGTAACTGGGGATCTGAGCTCGGCGGTGACGCGCGGCCCTCACGTGACCAGGAGCCTATGTCTGCCCAAGTCCCTCTCATCCTGGTCCTTTTTGCCAGTCCAGACACCGTCTGCCCTTTGGTCGAGGGGAAAAGCAGAAGGAAGTAAGTCCCCGCGGTCCTCTGAAATCGGTGTGAGTGTCAGTGCTGCCCAGTAATCCCAGGGATCAGGATGGCAGAGAGTCCAAGCCTTTCCCTGTGCCAGCCCCGCGCCAGCACTTCGGTGCAGAAAATGGTGGTTTTGGGGGTGGGGAGGTGAGTGGACCAACCCTGAGAGGGAGCCACAGACACTTAGATACAGTTTCTAAATAATCCTTAGCTTCCACATCCCGCCTGAAAAGAAATGACGAGCACCGAAAGGTGGGGGTGGGGGGCACGCAGG